AGGCGGCCCTGCCGTCCGTGCGGCCGCGGGCGCCTGACGCAACCCAGACACAAACCCACAGCCAGAGCACAGCGGGATGGCTGGATCCAAGCTGCTGCCTCTCGCAGCATGCTGATCCGTTTCCTCTTCAACCATCAGGCACCGCAAATTGTTGTATTTACCCATTTATACAAATACATTTGTCATCCCCTAAAAACTGCCTGACCTCCTAAAATACATCGCTAATACTAATAAACACTTGGCAATTTATACTGTGTCATAATATCACTTCGCACATGAGCTCACACAAAGGCTGAGCATTCAGTACGATCAGCCCCTTTTTGCACAAACTACAAGCACGTGTGTACGGGGTGGCCGTGCCGAGGTGTGGCATCGCAGGCTCTGCGAGGAGAGGTTGGGGCTGCCCCGTGCATTCCTGGTGACTCGCTGCACCAAGAATCAGAAGGCTCCATGACAAAAGACACACAAAGTCTATACTATCTGGAATGTAATAAAAGGATATACCTGGGCTAAACCCCCAGCCCCGCTAAAAATACAAACTCTCTTTCTCTATGCCTCTCTCTCATCCTGCAGGTGAGAGGATCGTCACCACTTACACACTCCATTTACACCTTTAGTCTTGTACCCCACACCCAGCTACGGGATCAAGGCTCCAATATTTGTAACTGGATTCCAGAGGATATCCTCCCCCCCGGCCCCTACCGAAAAGGGGGATGGAGTTGCCCTCTCAAATCTGTCCCCTGCCCCAACTGTAAAGAGAACTCCAACAATTAGCTCAAAGAGGAATCCTAATGCTTAGATAGCTCAACTTGGCCAAAAAGTGATCGTTAGTTTTACAAGTCTTTGGTCATCTTACAAGATTCCTGCTCCGTTGGCTCATGATGTGCCATCCTCTTATTAGTATTGGCACAGCCATCTGTCTGACCATGCTGTAAGCAACATCACAGTACTTAAAAAAAATACTGACGACAAAACAAAACAAAAAACCCTATAAGAACCCTCCTCATTTTTAAAGCCAAAAGAGTTTCCTAATCCCATGTGAATGAATTGAATGCTCATCACTACGGAAGTGCCAAAGATCAGGCTGGGACCAGCAGGTTATTAATTTCTAACATACTTATCTCAAATAAGAGATTAAATACTCTGTTTTCTCCTATTGTTGCATGTTAAGATTTGTGACTGGCAGGAGCAAGACCACCTCGGTTCAAGGTGAACAGGACTTCAGAAGTTTATCAGCTGCATCTCAGTTTCCACATTCTGCCTGTTAACATTTAGTCAGTCCAATTTTAACCAACTCCTTGATCAGTTTTAAGCCATAAAATCACAACTTCAGAAAAAAAAATTAGGAGGTCTGTTGTTATTTTTTTTTAAACTTTTCCATGTATTAATGATCTCCATGGATTCATCCATCACGTAGGCCCCTCTCCAGCAAATGGTATGTCATGAAAAAAGGGAGATCTTCCCAAAATTCACAACTGGGAAGGATCCAAAAGAATACATGCAGCAAGTCTTGGTATTTGTTGGGAGCAATTTGTATTTTGCCATTTCCTAAATTTACAAAACCGGATTCCACTGCAGAGATAGTAAAGCCAATTTTTCCTCCCAATCTTCCCTTATAAACCCAAGCCAAGGGTACATCTGTAGGTGTGGTGAAGAACAAATGTTACCTGGTTAATCATGCAAGATTCCAGTTCCTCTTTTGTGACATTATTATGGCCCCTCTCCTTGTTCTGCAAAAAACAAACCAAACCAAAACCCAACAATGACCAATGCATTTATGGCTGAACCACAAATTAGTAATGCTGGTATTCCAAGCTAGAGCAAATGAAGACACTGACTGTGACTCTTACATACTGACTGCAGTCTGCATTTTCTTCATTTCCTTTTCTTTTTAATTTCTAAAGTTGTGTCAATATAAAGTGAAAGCTTAGACGAAGACTTTTTAATAAAGATTTTATACAAGGATGAATATAAATAACATCATGAACAAGGCAACCTCCAAGCCTTACTTTGTTTTACAATAACAGTTCTGATGATGAATAAATACTCATTTCTACATCTAAACCTACAAAAAATATCTTAATATTTTACTCACTCTGTACCACATGAATATTGCTTTAAAGGCATTTTCATTAGAGCAGGATCCACAAGACATGGTGATCACCTGTGGCAGGCCCTTAGGAGCCACCTGTCAAGGAAGACAGAAAGTTACTCCAAAATACTAAGCACAAGTATAGCACAAAGTGATGATAATGCTGATCAGTCCTTCACATCCTGAGCTTCAGTATAATGGGAGACCAACCGTGCCTAGGATGAGGAAAGCCAGTTTCAACTGCAGCTGAGAGGGCTCCACTCAGTTTCAGTCTCGAGGATCTTCAAATTTAAATCAAGACAAACAGAAGCCACTTATTGCACTATCTCTTATGAAAACACAGTGAACAGAGGTCAGTGAAAATGTGTTTTCTCATCAGTTCTTGAATGTAGAAAGAAAGAGGCAGTATTTTTGCAGCGCAGACATATCACCCTCTCACGTTCAGCTGTCAAGTCAGTGAAAAAGGTTCAATCTCATTACTTGCAGTGGGAAGGCAGGTGGACAAACAGCTAATCTGTAATGTTCCCTATTAAAATCCATAACATCCCTTGACGTGCCCATGTTGCTAAACACAGAACATGGTAACTCATCACCGCTATCTCAAACTTACCGATAGCAAAGATTCCTTCAGTCTTTCTGCAAAGTTCTCTGGAGGTAAAATCCCTAGGGCAGGTCTGTTGATAAAAGTGCTCTAAAAAGACAAAGGAAGAGAAATTGTTAGGTTTTACTATCACATGAAAATATCGTGTTGATATCAAGGCAGTTACATTTTATTCTATTTACAAATACCAGCCAGAGATTTTGTAGTCATGGCACAAGGAGTTTTAAAACCAGGGAATAATATTCATGACTTAGAATATGTTGTTCTGTCTAATCCTTAGTACTTTATTCTTGCAGGACACCTTAGAAAAGGTGCATGCTGATACTGACATTTCCTCTTCAATATTGCCATTTTGGTTGCTCAATCTCAATTTTCCTTATACACAGGAAATACACTTTAAAACCTTAATTACTTGCCTTCAGTTTGAGTAACTAATCTAAATTCAATTAGGATAGCAGTGTTTTCTTCCTTACTAAGCTTCAAGACAGACCATTTCAGAATGCTTTGGTTATAACCATCCTCCAGATACTCTTACAGTGGGATGTGGGGGAACAAGGCAAAGGCAAACTTAAAGGACAGGGGCTACATCTGAGAAAGATAACACATGTGCAAGGATCAGCAATACAACACGACAATAAAATAGATTCCTGACAAAACGCACAGGCATGCTGTCTCCCTTCTAGACAACTCTGGCACGTACAGTAACGGGCAGTGCAGCAAGGAGATCAGCGAGAAGCTACCCCATGTGTTATTACCTCACTACTTGGCAACACGCATTTAACCAAGCTCAAGAACATGCACTGTGATATATCCAGACATGTTGGCGAAATTCCTTTTCCACTGTGTACTGTTTTCATGAAGCTTGCTGATTTGCAGGTAAATATTTCCTGTTCTATGGCCTTCAGTTTGCATAGTCACTCTTCTCAGTGCCTCAGCCTGAATGAGAGGTACATTCTTTATTGTGCATTACAACAGCAGATTTCTAGCTTCCCAGTTTTCTCCTTTCCATTCCCGATTGAGGTCTGACATGGATCAGGAGCCACTCATGCTGAAATAGTCTTCATGGATGCGATGCGATCTCTCCTAACAGTGGAATTCCATAGGCTACTGGCAAACTACCTGGTTGAATCATGTCCGCTTCCCAGATTTCTTTTCTCCAGCCCTTCCCTTCCCCTGTCTTGTCAGTAGAACTGAATCTGTGTTGCTGCAAGAGCCTTGGTGATCACAGAAGTGACTACAGGAATGCAGCCTTCCCATACCTATGTGGAGGTTACTGAGGAGATGGAGCCAGGCTCCAGGCTCTTCAATGGGAAGATGAGAAGCAATGGGCATAAATCAAAACAGGAGAGGTACTGATTTGGGTATAAGGAAAAGCTTTTTCACGCAGTGGAACAGGTTGCCCAAAGAGGTTGTGCAGTCTCCCTCCTTGGAAGTTTTCAAGACCTCAGATAAAGCCCTGAGCAAGCCAGTTTCATCTCACAGCCGACCCTCTTTGAGCAGGAGGTTGGGCAAGAGATGACCTGAGGTCCCTCCCAACTTCAGTTGTCCCACTGGTCCTACGGACGGGCCACATCAGGATTCACAGCTTTGAGACAGGTAATTTTGGTGTCAGTGAGCAGCAGCTGGTGGGAAAGCCGAGCCTGCTGCCCACAAAGGTGTTTCGAAAGAGCAGCTCTGGAAAAACCCCCTCAGTCTCCCCAGTCCACTAATGGAGATGAATGTCACATTTATGCAATTAATTTAAGTGTCATGGATTAAAATTGATTTGTCATTGCTCTTAGTCTTTGTAGATAATCTTATTTGATTCACAATGTGCTACTTTTTATTTTAAATTAAATTTGCTCAGAAAAGGACAAGCTCAATAAATTTGCCATCTGCAAAGCAGCATTATTTGCCCCTTTTTTGTTTGTTTGTTGGTTTTTTTTGTTATTGTTGTAAAAAGCTGTCTTTGAAATGAAAGGCTGAGCTTTGATGACTTAAGTCTCTATGGGTCTCCAGAGGGGACAGACTGCCTCCCCCAAAACGTTCATATTTTCAGTGCAACTCAAGCTTGCACATTTATCAGCACCCTTCAGTCTTTTTCCTCAATACAAGTACTCATTTATTCAGACGTGTAGACCACAGCAAGAGGTGTGAGTTGTCACACCATACCTGCAAGAAAACTTCATCAGAATTCTTAGGGAAAACCAAATCTGACACAAGAAGAATAGGAGCTAGGACTTTGTAACTTGTTCCAGTGTATACTTTCAAAACATTGTTTCAACAGACTGAAGCTTAAAAAGAAGCCTAAGCAAGGATGTTACTGACAGATTAACACAAAGTTTTTGTTTAGTACGAATGAGAAATCTTACTTGGCTTCTTATCTCGGTTTAGAAGTAAATTTTCATCTGAAGTTAGAGATACGAGGCCATAAATTTGTCATGAATTTGATTATGGGCTGTCACAGTCAATTAACAACATTTGCCATTAAGCACAAAAGTGTGTTTTTCTTTTGTTGTTAATGCGATACTCAGCACTGAGAAAAACAGACCATCGACATCAAGGGGCTGTGGCCTCCAATGAACAGATGGATATTCTGTTCTTTATAGCTGGCTGTAACGAGGGTACATGGAACATTACAAACGAACCAAACAAAAAAGCCCTACAAGAAAACACCGATCCCATCGTTGCCATTAAACAAGGGCCCTACTTCAGTGTGCATTACTCAAAAAAAAGTACTTTCACAATAAAGCTGGCACTTTATCTGCAGTCAGAGCCCAGCAGACGCTCTTGTCTGCAGTGAGGTTTGCACAAGTTCTGGCTCTTCACAGCTCTCTGTCCTTAGCACTGCAAAAACTTCACGGCACAACTGACGTCTTGACGCTGTAAAACCTGCCAGAAATCCTGCGTGCGCCGTCAGGCCCAGACTCATAGGTTTAGTGCCACCCTCTCCACTGATTTAGTGCAGGTTTCAGAAATCGGAATGGGGTACTAGTAACTTCTTTGATGCTCATATGTGGGAGAGAGCACATACTCGTTTTGGTGGCACCATTCATCTTGGACTTTGGAGGCAGTTCCTTTTACTGCAGGGTTGTAGCCGGCAGCCTGTCAACTTC